CAGGATATAAATACCAGATGTCTAAATAATGTAGTTTAGCATCACAGGATATAAATACCAGACGTCTAAATAATGTGGTTTAGCATCACAGGATATATATATACCAGACGTCTAAATAAGGTGGTTTAGCATCACAGGATACATATACTAGACGTTTAAATAATCTGGTTTAGCATCACAGGATACATATACCAGACGTCTAAATAATGTGGTTTAGCATCACAGGATATAAATACCAGACGTATGAACACTGTGGTTAAGCATTACAAGTTTAATATACCAGACTTCTAAGTACTGTAGTTTAGCATCACAGGATATAAATACCAGACGTATGAACACTGTGGTTAAGCATTACAAGATAAATATACCAGACGTCTAAATAATGTAGTTTAGTATTACAGAATACATATAACATACGTCTAAATACTGTGGTTTAGCATTACAGGATAAATATACCAGACGTTTAAATACTGTGGTTTGGCATCAAAGGATACATAAACCAGACGTCTAAAATCTAGACTTTATTAATACTCAATTTGCAATTTAATAATTTACAATTAACCCTTGTAAGAACTAAAACCTACTTGATTGCAAGATTGTTTCTGATTGCACTCAGAGCTTTATGATGTAAACCTGCTCTGGGAGGATCGACTACTGCTACTACGTCAGAACTAGATGCACAAATATCATCTAGAATTTAATTTCTAAAATTAAAATTAAAATATTTGAGAACTCATTAAAATAATGATCTTGCAGTGACACGTTCAGAAATCTGATGCAGTATCAATGTACAATGCAGTGTACAATAATCAGATTTTAATGTTTTAATGGTAAAACACAGGAAAACTTATCTTGTAAAAGAGGTTGTTCACAAAAACTAGGCCGAACATCAATTTAATTTCTAGTACATTTAGTCGGTTGATTTGAAGAATATTAAAGAGAAAAAGAAAAGAACTATTGACACTAAAAGTCAGCCAGCTTTCTCAGAATCCCTTGCAGATAATTTTCTATAAAACCCCGGCAAAATAATCTCGTTTTTCTCATGATTTTTCTGCCTGTCAATATCTCTGAGTATTTCTCCCAGTATGTTTTCTGCTCGACCAGCGAAGAAAGAACAATTTTTGATTCCGTTTCTTTCAGCATTCTTCCGAGCATCTCTTACTGCTTCTGGAACCAATTCTACTCCGATAACCTAGAATAATTAGAGGAATTAATGAATAACGATAATTATTTGAATTAATTCCAAAGTACACTTTCGGACAAACTACCGAAGAAGTTTATAAAATGTTTATTTATAAAATCTGAAGGTACAAAAACACATCTCAGTTTTAAAATACAATTTTTATTTTGATGAAATTTTCTGCGAAATGAAAACAAATTTGGATTATTTATCTCTGAATTAAAACTTTTGGAAGAGTAAATTCAATTTCGGGTGCACGCATATTAAGGGGGTGAGGGGGAAGATCTACCCCAATCATATTCTGAATATCCTGGGGACCTGTTTGACCCTACTAGCTAGACAGAGTCCAATAGTTCCAGTTCCACAGCAAACATCAACCAGGGTTCCTTTATCTTGTAGTTCAGCTAGGTCTCCAACACAAGCATATAGTACTTCAGCAGCCTTACTGTTCACTTGAAAGAAGGCCTAAACATTAGATTTATATAGAGACTCGTAGAGTTCAATCCATCAATTTAAATGCAAAATATTTGATCAATCAATAAACCATGCATAAATTAAATAATCAAACTGTAGTTCATTATTACAATAAACATTACAGCGTGTTGTACAGGATTACAAGGTATGTACACTAAGTTGTACAGGATATGTACAGTGTGTTATACAGGATATGTAAAGCGTGTTGTAATTTCTTAGCCGGAGCTAAATGCAGAAAGAGGTTTGTCACTTTACACAGTTTTCCAGCTCCCTCTGTGAAGAAGAGTTTTAAATCCGATCTTACTTGATCCAACTGAACCTTACTTAATCCCTGAAAACATTGAAAAAAAATTAAAACAAGTTCAATCTAATTTTTACTTCTAGAAAATTGGAAATGTGAGGGAATGATGAGTTTTGCTAATGAGACTTCAATTTCCTTTGAAGCCGTTAATTGGTTAAAATATAAATATACTAGAAAGGTTGAAAAGAGGGGAGGGGGAACTGAGTTAGAATATTTCAGATAAATATATAAACCCTGTCAGTGTCAGGAGTGTTTATCTTTCAAAATTACCGGCCAACCATCTAGGGAAGGGAGATAGTATACCTGAAACCTGAACAAACTGTTCAACCAGAATTCCAATTTTTATCATTTGTGGGGAAATGTGTGGAAGAGTTTGTTCAGCAGAAGATAAACTAGCCAGACTTACAACCTCTACTGAACCTGAACAGAACATCTTGTATTAAAATATAAAGGGATTAATTACTAATATCACTATAAATATCTGGATACATAGACCTTAAACCTTCACTACGTATAAACATTTTGCATCGAAACAAAAACTATTTAAATTGACTAGAAGTATAACATAAAACAAATATACAATACTCAATAAAACCTCTACTATGCCTGAACAAATTGTTTTGAAACATACCTTAACTTTTTATATAATATATATTTTTTGCAAAGGTAATCAAATCTATCTACATAATTGTATTTATGGTAAACTGTACACAGTTCTTCACTTTACTTTATTCTTAATAAATTAATATCTAACCTTGTTTATAAGAAGCAAGACGAAACCCAACTGATATTGTAGGTTTGGTCTCAGGTATGTCTAGTTTCTCTTCCTCCTTCGTGTCTGTAACATTACTCTTAGGTTCTGTGTTCATGTATCCAATAGAAAATTCACACTTGTTCCTGTATCCCTGGGTTACCGGAGATCTTAGAAACTCCTGAATAGGAGCAACAACTCCGTGCTTTGTTATACTGGTTCGTACAAACTCTGTTAAACCTGGATTGCATTTAGACATCTCAGCTCCCAACCGTTTAACCACAGTAACAACCTCCTCCAGCTTCTTCGCTAACTGGTCATCATAACTAAGAAACTCTATTTTTAATTAATTGTCCCGAGCTGAAAACTTAAGAATTGTGGATATCGAGTTCAATGCTTGACCTTCTATTTTTATTTTTCTCGTAATTAATTTAGTCTTTAGTTTGTATCCTGGAAGGTTTATAAAATTTAACCAATCAGCGTATTGATTGGAGAATCCGAACAGCCAATCAGATTGCTGAGGAATAAAATTTGCGCGCGAAATCAATATGAGGGAACTTTTATCATTCGCATTCCAGCAGGGATATCCAACAGAGAGGATTAACAATAATATCAAAAGTTTCCACAGTGGATGATTAAGCAATCAAGATTAAAGGTATCCAAGTTTTCAGCTCAGAGGTCGGAACTTGTTTATTGTTGATCATTTTAGAAAGAACTAATCCGTATCTTTTGTCGTCCGATTGATTAAGTAAATTCCACTAAACATCTCTGTCTGAGAAGTCTGAGGTTGAAGTCCGATTGATTAAGTAAATTCCACTAAACAACTCTGTCTGAGAAGTCTGAGTTTGTAGATCAGCATAACTTCAAACAAAAGTTCCGACCCCTAAACGTGTCTCAACTAGACGATTATAGTTGGTGGAACACAAAGTTTTGATAAATCTTAAATCTGTCTAATCATTTCCGATTCTGCCAGAACCCCGATAAAGGAAAAGCTAATTAAGCAAAGAAATTAGATAATATTGGAATCAATGCTTTTCTCTGGAAACTTTTAACCAAAAAAGTCATTGATTTTCCCTTGAAAAGGAGGGGGAAGAAAAATGATTTTTTTAAATATACACCCCTGCGCAAAACTGTTAAACATTTAAAATAAATAGGTTTATTTTTCCTGAGTTTAGCGAAGGGACAGAGTGCCTCTTGTATTCTCTCTTCTAGAGGTCTATCATCAGCCATCTCACGAGGTTGTTGGGTCTAACAAACATTCAAAAAACAATTATCAGAAGAGAACATTTTTTTAGGAGTCGCACTCAATCCAAGAACAAGGCCCCTTCATAACTTCACTAAGTTATGAAATCTTCAAAAATTTTCAAAATGTTAATTTTTTCTGGAAAATAAATATAAAATGAAAGATAAGATAAAAAAGAAAAATGAAGGTTAAGATGTCCTTAATTACCTTTTGTTTGTATGGATCTGCTGCAGCCTTTGCACTAAAATATATATGTATTTGATTTTAGATTTTAAAGAAATCAATTAAGTTTACATCACAGAATATTAAATTTTAATTTATTGAAGTAAAAGTTTAACAAAATTTCACTTCAATCTTGTTTTTCATTTTTTCTTTAAAAAAATAAGATAAAGTTGTAAATCGGGCATGCAACTTTTTAATACCACTTTGAATTACGCCAACAGTCTCTTTAAGCCATTTTTTGGTATTTTAACATGGAATAATTATTTTCTTTTAAAGTTCAAATTAGGCGAATTTTCACCTGACAGCCTTGAGCTTGTTCCCCTTGAACATGAACCCGTCCAGGACCAGCAGAGCCTTCTCCTTGTCCTCTTCATTCCTGAATACATCATGTAAAATACTTCTCCTTATCCTCGTCATTCCTGAATACATCATGTTAAATACTTCTCCTTGTCCTCTTCATTCCTAAAGTCAATATATTACAGTAAAATGATTTTATGACAACCCCCGGTAAAATCCAGATTGAAACCCAATTTTTAAAGTCTTTGAAAAGAGCTTCGATACAAAATAAGTAGTGTGCTAATTAACCCCTGTTAATTCTTAAAATATCAAGTGTTATGTCCTAAAATATTAGATCCAAAAGATCTTATCTACCTGAAGCAGACAAACATATAACTAGATCCACAGGGTTTAAGCTTGTGTGCATTTAGCTTGAGCTTATTATTCACAAGTTTTTTCATCTGGCCCATACCAAAATATTTTGGAAGGTTTTGTAATTCAATTTTGTAATTTTCGGAACTAAAATCTCGTCCGGACGCATCAGGACTAGTTGCCTCGGTATCCATCTGGTCTTCCGTATCACCTCCTCCGTTCTTCTCCACTCCGGTCTTCTCTTCTCCGTTCTTCTCGTCTCCGTTCTTCTCTTCATCCTTCATAAAATTTTACATTACTAAAAACAATATTAAAACTTATAACAAAGTAAACATAAAAATGGATAAGATTCTAAAAGAGGGTTTATATTTAAAAATGAGTTTAAAAGTATAACGAGGAATACTTGTAATTTTGTTTACTGGTGAATGTAAATTATTTATAATGTAGATGTATATTGTATATATAATGTATATTGTATATATGTTAAAATCTTGTAAAACTTGAGTAATCGACTATCTAAATAAAATTTTAAAGAGTAAGTATAAATACTTTAATATCGGGGCGGTCAACGTCTGTCTCTACTTCCATCTTTAATCTAATAAATAACAATTAATTAACACAATATCGATAGAAAAATGGCCTGTAAAAATATGTCTTTGGGGTCTAGATAAACTGGTCCCCCGGTTTAAGCAAGATTTAAAGTAATCCTTACACAAACTAACACAAACGGATAATTTCCTAATGTAAACTTATAAGCCCCCCCCTCGAATCATTTGATGGATCTCATTTGTTAATTGGCTCCAACAAAATCTAACCTGACCATGAGGTAATTTGTTTAAATTTTGGATTATGTCAAAATCGATGTCATGTACAAAATAGTTAGGGCGAGGGGGGAGGGAGGGCCCGGGGGAATCCAAAACGTGTTCTCTAGGACAGACCCATCATACGAACCTAGGTACAGGGTTACCCGTACAAAAGAAGGAACTGTAAAAACGACACGAAGACCTGAAACTCTTAGAAAATGACGATCCTAAGGTTAAATTAGGTCTTTTTTCTTAAATTTAGTTTTTAAGCGGATTTTTTATTGATTTTCGTACGAAAGAATCGAATTACAGTAACAAGGGGTACATTCCAAGAGAACGATATTTGGACCCCCCCCCCAGCCTCCCACCCCCTCCTATCAATTTTGTACATGGCCATTTATTTTTCAGCAAATTTATTATTATTTATTTTTTTGTTATTTAGGGAGGAACTGCCCTATGGGTACACCANGGGGGGGGGCCTGGGGGGGTCCAAAAATCGTTCACTAGGACAGACCCTAACAAGGAATCATGAATTTAAATTCCGTACAGTCTTATCTGAGCTGAATGAAGTCTCATTCTTTCACACTATTTGTGAAAAGATTCTCTTAGATTTATAAGAAGAAAAACATTAAACTAATCCACCACCCTTGAAACGTGTAGTGCGTATCATTAACAAACTCAATAAGAACATTTAGAAACGTTTTGATTGCACCTTTTATTTTTCTGTTTCATAATAGCGAGCGGTGCTGAAGAGCGAATGCCGCAAAACTATCCGGAATTTGAACAGAGATATTCAGAAAACATGAAAAAGTTGAATAATAGCTTAATATTTGAGTTATAAAATTTTAGAAGGATATTTTGGTTTAAAAGTTACCGCCCCCCCCCCGCCAAGGCTTTTTGCGAAGCCAAAAATTTTCGGTCGTCTTTTTTCTACAAAATCGAAAATGTTCTTAAAAATAAGTTACGCAAAGTTCTTATCTGATAGATAGATAGTTCTTACGAGAGACATCTAGCGACCAAACTATCGTCCCCCAAAGTACGTGAACAACACGACCACTGTTTAAACATTATTATGGAGAGAACGGGCTCAAATGTCTGAGTAAACATTAACCATACAGGGTTACCCACAAAAAATGAGACTTTAATGACGACATGAAACTCAATAATTTTTGAAGATCTGCAGGTTGATTTTATCTACATCCTTTAAATTATGGCCTTAAAGATATGTGCTAATAAATTGTAGATTTGTCGAAGATTACTAACATTCCTCCAGCTTCCTGTTTTCTCCAATATTCTTCCAACTCCCTGTATTCTCCAATATTCCTCCAACTCCCTGTATTCTCCAATATTCCTCCAACTCCCTGTATTCTCCAATATTCCTCCAACTCTCTGTATCTTCCAATATTCTTCCAACTCCCTGTATTCTCCAATATTCTTCCAACTCCCTGTATCTTCCAATATTCTTCAAACTCCCTGAATTCTCCAATATTCCTCCAACTCTCTGTATCTTCCAATATTCCTCCAACTCTCTGTATTCTCCAATATTCTTCCAACTCCCTGTATTCTCCAATATTCCTCCAACTCTCTGTATCTTCCAATATTCCTCCAACTCTCTGTATTCTCCAATATTCTTCCAACTCCCTGTATTCTCCAATATTCCTCCAACTCTCTGTATCTTCCAATATTCTTCAAACTTTATGTTTTCTCAAATATTCTTCCAGCAGTGACGTACATAGGGGGGGCAGTAGTCCTCTTCCCCCCCTGGGAGTTCCAGGGGGGGCCCTGCCACCCCCCTGGAAAATACAAAATTTAAAGGAAACAAATTTAAAGAGTAACACCTGACAATAAAGACTAAGGATTTGTCTAAATTCACTTCTTAACACAAAATTTTAAGATACTTTAAACTAAAACTTTTGCAAAAAAGAGACCTCGACATATTAGATGCTTATAACATGATGGAAGATGTAATAAAGGTATTCTATTTTCTATTTTTCTATTTTTTCTTACAGTCAATTAATAAAGGAATTGTGTCTTTGGCACAAACTCAAATATTTGAATCTTGGGAACCTGATGTTGTAAACCTTCGATATTTCAAATTCAGAAGATTGGATCTAACAGAATTCATAGTTTGAAATATAAGGTCACAACATTTGGTTCCAAAGATATAGTGATTAGAAAATCAGAGTTTGTGGCATAGACTCAATTCCTTTATAATTCCATAAAGAGATATTAAGCGTAATTTCAAGTTCCCCTTTATGCAATGATGACAATAAGATTGAATGAAGGAAAGAGAAGTTTTAGCCTTCTAAAGAGAATACTTCATTACACAAGATGTACTATGACGGAGAGCAGACTTAACGATCTTGCACTTATGGCTCACTGTCTGAGAAAATCATTGAAAATGTTTGTGCAAGCAAATCCAAGAAAATTGAAGCTTTATAGAGTTGGTGAATATGTAGATGGAGTAAATTCTATCTAAATATTTCAGAAGAAATTTCGTTTATTATTGAAAATATGAATTTTTAATGATGCTGTGATTTTTGATTTAGTTAGCTGTGATGGAGTTAAGTGATACATTTATAAATTTATAAAGTTAGTTTTTCGAGCAAAGGAATAAATTTTAGACTCTATAAGGTTAGTAACACCCAAAAATGTAATCTTTTTGGTGTTAATTGACTTTTTGCACAAAACAATTCCAAGGGGGGGCAAAAAAAAATTTCCCCCCCCTGGCTAAAATCCTGTGTACGCGCCTGTCTTCCAGCTTCCTGTTTTCTTCAATATTCCTTCAACTCTCTGTTTTCTCTAATCCCAGGAAACATTTTTACCGACTTTATGTACCGATGGCAAAGTTAGCGGGTAAGTAATGACCAATTTCTTAGACGTTCTACCATAGGTAGAACCATAGTCACACTATGGTTACGCTTTACCAGAGCAGTGTAGATAGATAGATACGGCCTATAGTTGTACCTATGGTAACATGAATAAGAAATTGGCCTTAATTCTGGACTTAATGTTCGCCATCGGTTTGTCGGAGGAGCCGAAGACTAAACGTTTGCAGGGATATTCCTCCAACTCACTGTACTCTCCAATATTCCTTAGACTCCCTGTATTCTCTAATATTCCTTCAACTCCCTATATTCATTCCTTAAGCTCCCTTTATTCTCCAATATTCATCAAGCTCCGTGTTCTCCAGTATTCCTCTTACTCCCTGTATTCTCCATTATTGCTCCGACGTCCTGTTCTCTCCGATATTCCTCCATCTCTCTGTATTTTCCAACATTCTTTAAACTTAGTGTATTCTCCAAAATTCCTCCATATGTTCTCCAATATTCCTCCAACTCAATGTATTCCCCGATATACCTTGTACTCCCTTTATTCCCCAATATTCCTTAAACTCTTCGCTATAATTACACGCATCGTGTTATGTGAAGACTTGGTGTTCCAGATTAAAAAAGGAAAAATTCTATATAAACCATTTTATCTGGTAAATTGATAAAAATCCACAAAACTAAAATTCGTTGAGATATATTTTATACAACTTACCAAACATTTCGTGAATGATTTTAATCTTCAATGTTCTGTATTTTTATTATCACACATGTATTTTTCCCAAGCTCAGCGTAGATAATTGAGAAATAATTCTATTAGTGAAGGATTGATCTTTAAAAAAAGACAATTACAGGAAACGTTGCAGAAAACGAAGAACCAATTATGTTTTTTATTCTTTTTTGAACGGGTAACCCTGTATAATGTAAGAGAAGTGGATGCAAGCTTCCGATTCCGAACAAAAGGACAAATCAAATTTACCAGACATGAACCTCGCAACTACCAATCGGGTGCTCTCATTAATATTCTTTAGTTTTAAAAAGCAATGTTTTATTGACTACAGAATAATCGGGCTTTACAATAAAAACAATGCGATTAACAGAATTAATACTAAAGATGGAAAACAGGGTCTGATGGAACACAAGACCATGTTCTTCATCCCAGGTAGGATTGGATTAAAAGAAACCTTTTTGGATCCGTACAAAATATACATATAGTTCTGGATGAATCGCTTTCCACTTGATTTTCATGTTTAAGAGAAAAAAATACAATTTGTAGAAGAACATAAAATCTCCGAGGCAAGATGTTGATTAATTATGTTTTTCTTGAATATTCCACGATATAGGATCAGCAAACCGCTCTAAAATAAGAAGATATTTAAGATTTTCAGATGAATTGCGAACTAAAAAAATCTATTTTTGAAAAAAAAATGTTAAATCCTTTTCTCTTACCTGTATGCTTAAGAAAACTTGAAATTTTCTTGGTATTTTTCCTAGAAATACGCAAAATTAAATAGGTTTCTAATGTAATAGATATACAAGAGTATTAAATTATTATTTTCCTAATTGATCTTAAAGTTCATTTCAAGATTGTTGGAGATGTAATCACGAAAAAATACTTAAAATTTCTTGAAGTTTATTTGAGTTGAAATACCTGGGTTTATCCCAGGGCAGGGAACGCCTTCTGGTCGTCCAGGCTGAACTGCTGGCTTCCGCCACGTCCGCCCTTCAATAAATAAAATTAAAATAAATCAAAAATGTTTACGAGGAGTAATTAATAACTAATTGATAGTTAAACTTACCCTTCCTCCACGTCTTGGTGGTCCCTCTCCCTCACGAGGAGGTCCTCCACGGTTACCTCCACGACCACGGCCGCGGTCTCCTCGCTCAGCGCGGTCTCCGCGCTCAGCACGCTCTCCGCGCTCAGCACGGTCACCGCGATCACCACGGTATCCGCCGCGATCTTCACGGTCTCCACCTCTATCTCCACGGTCTCCGCCACGACCACGGCCTCTGCCGCGTCCTCCTCCACGCATAGCCTGCTGGTCAGCGAAATGGAAGTCTATGTCAAGCAGATGCTTCTGCCTGTTAGCGCGCTGAGGATACACATACTGAAAAAGTTTAATGAATTTATCCTAAACCAACAAGATCAAAAAATGTACGTACAAGTTTTATTAAAAGGTATAAGAAAGAAAATATTTTTAAAAATAAAGTTCGTCCTCCTATTGTTTGTGACGTTTATAAAAAGTTCAAATTTGTCAAGTGTGGTTGGTGAATTTAAGTGAATTAATTTGGCGGTCGCAAGAAATTGCTTTAAATATTTAAATCTTTAGTTTTCTTCTCAAATTTCAGCTTAAATTAATTAAGTTGTAAAAAAAAAGAAAAAAACTGGATTGATTCCGAAGAAAAACAAATATATTGTGCACGAACAGTGCGCTCTATCCATAAAATTTGATAACATTTGTTTTTGCTATTATAATAATTCATTACTCTTTACCAATCTAAAACATTTTTTGATTCAATATTGGCACCCTTGAAAACTCTGAATTAGCATATTTATCTCAGTTAAGAATGCCAAAATGCTTGGCCTAAATACCGCAGTTACATTTAATGTGTTAAGATTTGAGATAAGTTTCAACTTACGTTCTCCTCTTCCTCCTCCTCATCTTCCTGTCCTTCCTTCTCCTTCTTGTAGGCAGCCGCCTTCTTCCACTTGGGGTCGATATCAGATCTAGAAATTCAAGTTCCAATAAATATATAATAATGTAAGAGAAGAAGCCTTAGTTATCAATTAAATTGTGGAAGTTTATGTAACATTTATTTTCCTAATTCAAGTGCTAAAACTAACATTTACAGGGGGAATAGAGGATTTCTAATATCTCGCAAAAAATTTGTCTGTGAGGTCATCAATATCAGATATTTACGTTTTCTACCGATGGTTAAAAGTTTAAACATAAGTTTAGGCTTTAGAAGGCAAAAAAAAAGTTACTGTTTTAATTATGACAGTTTATGTTAAATCAGCGAGTTTTGTAACAAAAAGAGAAATTCAAAAAATATCGATTAAGGAACAATTTGTGTTGACGAAATTGAATTTTAGAGTAACATGCGTTTCTTTATTTGTTGATCGTTTTCCCATAATTTATTAGTTTCCTTTAAAAATTAGGTAGTAATATCTACATAGCAATTAGCTCGCTCGTAAACAAAACAATGATGAGTTATTCTGCTTCTTAACCTTTGTATTTTTTTATTGATAAAATTCTTCAATTTTATGTAATGTTAAAATGTTCTGAGGTAACTATTATTTGAAACTTTAATACTTCAAAGTTCAAAATCTCAATTTTGCATCCGAATTCCGCGTACGTTCCACAATAGACTAAAATACAAGTCGTAATCATACATTAAGTTGCTATTTAACAATAGCATAAACGTTGCTATCAAAATGTCCGTCTTAAATTAAAAAAAACTTACCCCTCTCCGGCCTTTCTTAGATTAAATTTAGGCTGCTCAGCTTTGGTTTGAAGAGCTTTCCATTCATCCAGAGTGAGTTCCTTAACCTCCTCCTCCTTGGGACCCTAAATAGAAATCAGCATTTTAAACTATGTTCGTGTAATTCAGACTTAACATCCCTGAAATAAGTGTATACTCCTCTCACATAAATATAAACAGTTCTGGATATAGAATGTGTATTTAATAATTAATATTTCTTAATAAAATCGGAATTTTAATTTGGATGTGTACATTTTAAACCAAATGTAGATTAGAATAACAAAATTAAACTCGCTACGCAAATCGTTGAACAAGTTTTGCATTATTATTTCTTAATGAAGACTGAAGCTTTAATAAGATTAAAACAGATTTTTTGTTATCGAGGCGCAACTTTGATGCTAAACCATGATATTAAATCAGATCAAATGGAGTACCCAAGATTATCACCCTACAGCGATACCCAAAACACTCAGGAATAGTACGACGACTTTTAGAACTTCGTTTTAACTTTAAAAAGTTCAATGACCATGAAACACAGCAATTGTGCAGTGTAAACAGACCAATTTCACAAAATAAGTTATTTGGTAAAACTTTTTTCTTTGCAAAACCATCAAATACACTTAATTATTGCTATAATGTCGTCTTACTATTCCATAGTTTTCTGGTTTTCACTGTTCTTACAGATGAACTATTTTTTTTACCTCATCTTCTCCGTCATCTCTCTTCTCCTCGTTCTCATCAGCAGGGGCTCCTCCCTCCTCAACAGAGGTGTTAAGAGTACCCTCCTCAGATTCCTAGTAACAACATAAAAATATTTGAACCGATTTTAGATAAATAAATCCGAAAATAAATTAATAATAAAATTGAAATTAACCCTACCTTGGCCTTAATATCATCCTCAATAGTTCCCCAGTTTCCTTTTCCGCTTCCTCCTTTCTTCTCTTCAGCCTTGATTCCCCTGGGGAGAATTAGATTTCTATATTTACAAGATGCGCCAACAATCCGACAATCGACATTGAGATTTAATTAGTTTTTAATTTGGTGCAGTTCATTAATTCAGTCATGAATTTCAGGCACATAAAATTTTAGACCCATAAGAAAAATGGTTTAAAAAATTGAAAAGATTAATGTTACTTTAATCGTATTCAGAGAGGGCTTTAAGTTCTCATTCGGCCCCCCAAAAAAAATAAAAACGTGATTGTACACATCTTTGAATTTATCAAATTTCGCTTCGAATGATTCGAATGTAATAGAAAATTGACTTACGTTCTGGAGTCACCGGACTTGCGTTCGTACTCACGCTTTCCACCACGCCCAGGTCCATCACGTCCACGCGGTGCTCCGTCTCCTCTTCCTCGTCCCATTCCACGTCCTCCACGTGGTCCGCCACCACCACGTCCACGTCCTCGGTTCTCATCGTCGACATCTCTCCTGGGTCCTCCTTCCTGGTTTATCCGGTTGTTGCGCTCCTCTCTGGGTCCCTCCTGCGCTCTCCTGGCGTCCAGGACGCGCTTACCCTCATATCTCTGGTTGTTTCTCTGGTTTTCCTTATCTACAACAAAAATAATGAATTTTTAGAACTGTCACATATCCAAGTGTTAGATTATCACTATATAAATCTGCTGAGAAAAGAAAAATCGATCATTATTACTGTGACCACTAAAACGCACTTGGTTTAGAAATATTTTTTTTAACTTCAGAATAAAATAAATAGCTCAACTGCTGTAAACAAAACAAAAAAACTTATTGAAATTGTTAAAATGAAAACTTAAGTCTAATACAGGGGGTTTAACAAATCATCGCAAACGATATTATTCAGCTGACAAACAAATCATTTATACTTAACATTAATTACCTGAGTTATCATTTTCCTTCTTGGCTGGCTCCTTCTTTGCAACAGCTTTAGGGGCAACCTTGGCAGCAGGCTTCACTCCCTCAACCTTCTTCACCTTGTTCTTGTCGGTCTCCGCCTCCTTTAAGATGTCAAGGGGGTCCCTCTCATCGTCATCGATGAACATAGCATAGCGATTAGTGATACCTATACCGTAGGCATTCTCCATTGTGACAGTAAGTTAATTTAATCCCCAAATCACGGGGATGTTAGTGGATTTCGGAAAATATTTGGTTGCAGAAAGCGATTAAACAGAATTCATGGATCTCGCACGAGGATACTGATAGAATAGATGGCGCGTCGAGCGGTGGACACAAATAGTAACACAGAAACGTAGTTGAGAAAGCCTGGTTTCTGAAAAAAAATATTTTATTTTCCATAGAACAACTGAATTTAAGTTTTATTGAATTAGATTTAAGAAAATTAATTTGATAAAATTTGGAAAGAATATATAACACTTGTCGATAGTCGGACCGGTCGATGGCTCCCGCCATTTTAGAATAAAGAACTTCTAGCATGCGGCAAAACTGCTGCAGTTTTAATGTTTTATTTTGGTTTTGTTGCGTAATAAATAGTCCAGCATTTTCAATTTTCAATTACTGTATTGAACTACAAACATTAATATTCAATCAAAATGTTTCGTATTTCTTTTTTAAATCTTACTGAATATATATTTGGACACAAGTAATTTGGAGATAAAGTCTATGCCCAGATAACATTCGATCTCCACCGAGGGAGGGAGTCCAGAGTTCCTCAAATAGTAATCACCGCCACCCAAGCGCGCTCCTCAATTGGAAATCTCCACCACCTCAAATAGTAATCAGCCCAAAAAGCATAAAATTAAATCGTTTATTTCTTAGAAATAAGACCATATTGACCTCTTTTAATGGCCCTATGGTGTACAGTATTGTTAAAGCTTTCTTTAATGCTCCTTAGTTTCGAAAATAAATCAATAAATATGCCACACTAAATGCTAGAAATGTATTACGTTTTTTAGTTTCAAGTTTCGCTTTAAGAATGTTTGCAGCATTTTCCTCTGAATGTTGTTTTAAACTCCTTATATAGAGAAGAAACTTTAACCCATTATTAGTGGACTAAATACTTCATTTTCAGTAGTTGGTGTAATGAGACTAATTTTTTAAAATGTTATGTTCTTTCTATGCATATAATTAGTTTTGTTGTAGATTTTGAACTCGAGTAGGCGAATACAAAATCTAAACACTGTAAAGGTTTTTTGAAGTATCTTTTAAATGGAGATTGATATTACTTTGGGCGTGATGAGATAATTTTTAGTAAGTTTTAAGTCCTTTCTATGCATATAATTAGTTTTGTTGTAGATGTTGAACTCGAGTTGGCGAATACAAAAATCTAAACACTGTAAAGGTTTTTAGAAAATATCTTTTAAATGGAGATTGATATTACTTTGGGCGCAATGAGATAATTTTTAGTAAACAGGCAGCCTGACCTTTTTTGTATCTTGACGCCAATCATGAAATGCAGTCATTAAAGTGGCGAATTGGATCTAAGATTCGGCTAAAATGAACTGTTCCTTGATTCTCAGTTTTTGTTGACCAAACAAATCTGAAAATAATTTGAAAATTTAGTTTAAGTCAATACAGATGCCATATAACCCCGATAGATGTCGAAAATTGTGTTAAAAGTGCATGCCATTAAATTCAAATCACAGAAAACAAAATTTTACGGTGATTACTAATTGAGGTGGTGGAGATTACCAATTGAGGAGGGCACTTGCCGCAAAACAGATTTGGGTGGCGGTGCTTACTATTTGAGGAACTCTGGACTCCCTCCCTCCTCCACCATGATTTGGTATTTTTTGTATATGGCGAAGATTTGGAGAAGAAACTTCATGGGATATTTTATAGCCATGCCATCAAAGCTCCACCTTGTTTCTGACAGAGAAGATTTTGTAGGACTTTGATTATTTTGTATCTATATGGTCAGAGATTTGCCTTTTTTCTGATAGCAGGAATTTTGTCGGACAATAATGTCATCAAAATAATGTCAGACATTTTGATATTGTGTCCCTCGTCAACAAATATAAGTGAACCTATTCAGTTTTGCTTAAACTGTTGACGAATGAGGTTCATATGTGTGCTCACAGAGTGGTTTTATTGTGAAAAACAAGCATCTTTTACTCAATACACGGAGCACTTTCCTAAAGAACTTCCTTACTGCATATCTGTAACTTATATTCTAGATTGTATTTTCTGATAGATCTCCTTTGTCGTAGGCAGGTGTGATAGCGGAGTAAATACAAACCACCATAGTATATATTCTACATATCTCTGCTGTAGAAACTCTGTTGTAGGTGCAAGGGTGGAGTAATTACGTACCTCCAAAGTAAATACTCCTTATATCTTCGCTGTAGTTCCTTTGTTGTAGGTGTGACAGTGAAGTGATTTATATACTGCCAAGTATATACTCCATGTTTTTGCTGTTGTATACATGAAAGAGGAGATCAAATTAACTAAATCAAACATTTTAACTGGTAATTTTTTATCAACCGGCACAGCTGCAGTACACTTCAACAGAGGAGCCTCGTGTGAATCCAACCTTGGAGCCATGTGAATCCAACCCAGGAGCCTGTTGTGAATCCAACCAAGGAGCCTGTTGTGAATCCAACCAAACAGGGGCGGATCCAGCTTTTTAAAAAGGGGGGGTCAAAGTCTGAATAAAATTGGGTATAGTACCAAGCAAAACGTAGTGAGTAAGTTTTATAAAGAAATAAGCATTAAAAGTGAGTATTTTAAGTGCTCAAAACAGAAAATTACTCTTATAGTATGTAAAAATATTGCTACCTTAGTGCTGCACTTACTATTTTTTCACTCATATATATTACTCTATAAAAAATATATTTCCATTTCCATTGGCATTACATAATTTCTTATTACAATTTTACACATTGTTTAAGGGTGTTTTTTCATGTGACTAATTAAGTTATTTTACAATGAAATTTTTGACAAATTTGACTGAGTATTGCATCTTGAAATATCACAAAGTCTAATGATTATTCAATTACTGACTCATAATACTAAATCCATCTTAAAATCAATCATTAACCAACTTTGTGATATTTCAAGATGCAATACTCAGTCAAATTTGTCAAAAACAGTTTAAGAATTCAACACACAAAATATTAATCTTAAGTATAATTGAAAAAATGGTTTGAGTTGTACTTTTTTGCATGACACAACTGGATTTTTTAGAATTACACTTTAAAGGCCCTAAATATATCATTTAAAAAAGTAGTTTTGCCTGGAAGAGTCAAATGCGGTGGTACGGAAAGGGAAATAGTGGTGGCTCATGGCTGCTTGAAGAGAAAAAAGCTAATATGTGGCACGGAAGGGGAAATAGTGGTGGCTCATGGCCGCCTGCCTTCCCCTGTTCCCAGGACCTACATCAGACATAATTGCTGCTTCGTTGAAGCCAAATCGCACGATTAATAAATCCTGCCAGGTGGATTTAAGGCTAGATTATCTACCCTACTTTTTCATTAGAGGTACATATACTAGGACGGATCCGGTTTTCAGGTTGTTGCAAGTTTTATCATCAAGGGTACATTTAATTTCTGTTCTGATCCCAATTGGGATTGGATGTTAATATCAGTAATCAAGATAAGAGATAAATTATGTTATACAGAAAAATAGACACTGTTCTTCAACTTGATGTAATGCTTCCAATTGTTTACAATAACAACATGATTAATTTCTACCCCTAATATCAATCAATCAACATTAGGGATAGTATAGGAGGGAATTTTATGCACCCCTGTTGATAATTAATATTTATCAAATAGACAAAGATGCCCAATTAACTGGAATTTGTCAAATTAAAACCGTATCGGCTGGTATTTAAAACTTCTGTTCTGGTTTGAATATCTGTCAGAACAATCTTTATTTCAGAGAATTGATTTAATCTTAAGATGGGGTCTTCACGGAGCAGAAGTCGCTCAAGGAGTGCTGAAGGTAAGAAAAGCCGGTCACGCAGCAGATCATCCAGGTCAAGGTCACGATCTAGGTCCAGATCCAGGAACCGAAGGCGCAGCCGATCCTACAGCAGATCCCAGTCCCCAGATCTGGATGGTCACCGACTCCATGTTGCAGATTTAGACAGCAGATCGGAGAAACGGGAACTAGAGAAAGTTTTCTCAAAATACGGTCCTTTGATAGAAGTATGGCTGGCTAAATCTACCCCTTGCTTTGCATTTGTTGTTTTCAAGCATAAGGATGATGCATATGATGCTTGCAGAGCTACAGATGGAGAGGAGATGTGTGGGAGAAGAGTTCGTGTGACCGTTGCTCGGCCACGAACAAAGGGACGTGGCCGACGAGGATTTGATCCTAGCATGCGGTGCTATCAATGCGGGGAGAAGGGTCATTTTTCGAGGGATTGCACCGACTTCAAGTATGGATACAGGAGACCCCCTAGTCCTAGGAGAGGTGGACGGGCCAGGACCAGGTCTAGAAGCAGATCTAGATCTAGATCTCGCAGGAGAAGTCGTTCTACGAGAAGGAGATCCGTATCACGGAGAAGGAGATCCGTCTCACGAAGCAGAAGTAGGAGTAGACGACGTCGCTCTAGGAGTCGGTCATAATTAGCTGAAAAAGAGTCGAGAGCTTAAAGAGACGAATTTTCACGTTTCGTGCATTAATTAAACGCATTGTATAAAGATTTAAATTATATGTTGTATTGATTTTTTTAATTTCATAATTTTAGCTTACTTATTGATTTTCAAGAATTTGATTTGCTTTTCTAACGAACCACATTCTTCTGCTATGTTTCCACTGCTTATTTTTTAAGTGCATTTGTTTTGAAAAAGAAATAATCTCACAAATATTTTATTGTGCAATTTTTCGGATATTTCCTTAAAAATATAAGCTTGGAAAGGGGGGAAAATCGTTTTCTATTTGAACATCTGAAGTGATAAGGACTTTCTGGAATTTAAGTCTATCACATGAAATGAGATATTATAGAGTTTTTCGTCTCAATTTCAAATGTGGGTATATTTAATTAATTATTAATGTATGTTTTCACTCTTCAATTGCTTTTTTTTACAATAATAATCTGGTCGTTGTCCATGTTCCCTAGTTATTTTTTAATTTTATTTGATTCTTCCAATTTCAATTTTCCCCTTGGTGTCCAATTATAATCAATCTAAAAAAATATTCTTATCCTTACGATTTCGATATAATTTGTTTTATTAATGTATATTCTTAACACGTGCTTATGGGCATTTTGAATTTAATAATATTGATCAAGTCCATTTGATTAATGATCACATATTAAACTCTGTTTATAAAATTTGTTTGGTTATTTACAATACAAATATATATTATTATATTTTAATGTTTTTCTTGAAATATAACCAATTTGTTTTAACTAGATTTTAATTTTAGTTTGTGAATTGCCCATTGGGGCTGGAATTGGTTAAAACTCATCATTGGTTGCAATGTAGTGGCTGGATTTGTCTGTTAAAGACTGGATTGCGATGAAAAGTAAAAGTGGGCCCAATGGGGCTCAATTTTGAATAGGTAACAACCTTACAAATCCCGACAAGATGTCTTGTTCTTAATCATTTTTGGAATTTTTACCTGCTAGTAGTTTTCGAATTTGGTTTTAATTAGATTAAAGGGACAATCAAATTTGAAATTGTGTAAGAGGGGGAAATAAACACTAAAATGATCAAGCAAATTAAACCCTAAATGTTTTAAGAAAAAAATTATTTTAAAATTCTAGTTTGAGAATACCGGATATCGAGGTTTACCGGTGGAAAAGTGTTAAACTGGAAATGATGACGGAATCCTCCTAAACATGATCATTGATAATCTTGTCAGCGACAATGTTGGTCAGAGAAGAGCAAGCTTGATGAGAACCTTGTCCCCTCAGTTAATCAGAAACCCTAATTCATTTTCAATATTCATCGACAGAAGGAAATTGTTAGGATCGAAATCTTCCATCCAATTAAGATCTTATAATTCCAATATAGAAATTATTAACTATTAACTGTCTGTTTTATCTTCTCTACCATGGTTATTTTGACCATTGCTAATTTTCATGCTCACTTTTATTTTTAACATTTTCAACCCCTGTATAGTCAGTAATCATAGTTATAAGTTTTCCATATATGGTTAATAAATGCTTTCCAATTCAAGATGTTAGGTCAAAAGATTAGAAGGATTTAGAACACAGAATATAAAAAGCAGGTTTCAGGATGAAGTCTTGCATGAAGTTATGAACTTGAGAAATACCGTTGTTCATGTATGTTTGTAATAGTTTGTTATCACATAAATTCTAATTTTTTATAGGTTTCCGATTCCACTTTGAAGTGATGCAAAGTTTCTGATAATGTTTACATCCCAATGGCTAAAATATAATCCACGCTTTCTTACCACTTAGTGTATACAGTTACACTACACTGTTAGAATATGAAATTTTGTATGTCTTAGTAACTAAAACGACATTTAAATATTAATGTCTTAATACAAGGATAAATACGCAGTATAAATAACATTTAAAAATAAATAACTAATAGTGTTTATAGTGTTGGCTATAGAGGAAGAATCATTGCAGTGGTAACTTCAGTGGCAGGTCACGTGGTACTCATTCTATAATATCTCCCAACTATAAAGCACTCTGGTACTAATAAATCTTTTCTACAATATCTCCCAACCTTAAACCACTCTGCTTTCCATAATATCTCCCAACTACAACCCACGCTGGTACTAATAAGTCCTCTATAATATCTCCCAACTATAAACCACTCTGGTACTAATAAATCTTTTCTGTAATATCCCCCAATTATCAACCACTCTGGTACTAATAAATCTTTTCTGTAATATCCCCCAATTATCAACCACTCTGGTACTAATAAATTAATATCCCCCAATTATCAACCACTCTGGTACTAATAAATCTTTTCTGTAATATCCCCCAATTATCAACCACTCTGGTACTAATAAATCTTTCTATAATATCTCCCAACTATAAACCACTCTGGTTCTAATAAATCTTTTCTATAATATCTCCTCTGGTACTACTAAAACCTTTCGCTAAAATCTCTAATTTCGAACCAAGAACTACTCCAGTAAACCTTTCTGTAGAATCATTTTAAGCTTCCAACCACCCTGGTACTAAATCTACAAACTTAAGTCCTATATTTTGATCTTCCGGGTACATAACATGCTACTTGATGGATTTAAGTTTTTTCTGAAACTTGCCCGTATACTACGAGCGGGGGAAGGCAGGTGGTAATAAGCCACAAATTTTACACCTTCCATGCCACAAGTTAGCTTTTTTGTCTCCCGGCTGCCATAAGCCACAACCGTTTAGTCTTCCATACCACAACTTTTGAGTCTCCAGCAATCATTACGTTTTTAAAGGAATAATTTAGTGCATTAAAATTTCAATTTCAAAAATTCAGTCGCAATACGCGAAATATGATACCTTTAAGAAATTTTAGATAGAAGTTTATTAATGATCAACAAATTATGTGCTCGGTTGATAAACTGCTTTATATTATACAAAGAAGATTTTACATCATTGTTGGCACCGAGACAAATTGTTGGTAGTCTAAAGAATAAGAAAAGATGAGAAAAATCATAATATCAAGTGTCATTTACTGAGCGTGCAAAGGGACCCCTTTCAGCCTAAAGAGTATGTTATAGCATTGTTAATATCATTTTAAAAAAACCCATTTTAGATTAAAAAGTGTTTATCGAGACGTTCAGGATGATAATTTCTTTAAAATAGACTTTCAGGGTGCTTTCCACCCGTTTTTAGTAACAATTGTATATCTTCTAAGTGTTGTATTTAAGTATCCAGTTTTTTCTTCTTTTATCGTTAAACTTAAGACTCTGAGTATTTCTCTATTAGCATTGATGGAATTTCAAAAAAAACCTCATCAAAGTTTTAAATTTCGTTTTGACGTTTATTTGATACAAGACAAATATACAGATGAGTTTAGTATCGTGGAATTTGACATGCAATTTCCTTGATATGTTTTCTGTTTTACTGTATTCATTTTGCTCATTTTGTCAATTAAATTCAGTTTACATTACATGGAAAGTGGGGACTTTATCTCGTATTCGTTCCGCGTGGTATGTTTCCACAGTTTTAGTCAGCGTTTCGGATCCGGATCCGTATCATTTGGTCGGATCCGGATCCGGATCCGTATCAGGAAACGTTGATATGGATCCGGGTAGCGCCAAAAATTAACCAAAACCATGGAATAAATAAATCAAAATGATTCGTAAATGTATTATTTACATGACGAAAATTTTTCAAAATTATCTTTAATAATTTAATGTTTACATTTATATAATAGTAATGACGACATTTTTAACTTTAGGATTACTAAAGTTTATAAATTATAACCTTGCATAACATTTAATAGGGAAAATCCGATTCACAGAATCAAAAGTTACCTCGGATCCGGATCCGTATCAGAGTCAGGATCCGGATCCATCATCACGGATGCGAATCCGCGGATCCGGATCCGAATCAAAATGATATGGATCCGAAACACTGGTTTTAGTATTAGTACAGGGTGTCCCACAAAACATGACAGGTAGTAAATAGTTATGAAAGTCGTCTTGCATATACTGTATCAGAAATTATAGGCTTTTTGCAGTTAATTTCGTTTAAAAAAATCTTTTTACTTAGCAACAACTTAAGAAATTATGGAAGAAGACATTCTAAACTATTCACCAACTGCCATGTTTCATGGGACACCCTGTATCTCAGTAAAATAGATAACATCTAAAAATGCTAGTCTCAGGAATTCCAAAATGTGGTCTGCAATTTTGCACCTTCAAAATTATAGGAGATATTGATAAATCTGTTCCAAGTCAGATTATTTCAGTGCATAGGATCCGGATCCGTTGGATCCGCAATATTTTGGCTTCGTGGATCCGGATCCGCAAAAATATGCGGATCCAAGGGGTAGAATATAAACCAAAAACTGCAAATGCAAAAACATTTTTACTCGACCGTACACCCCAATTCTAGACTTTTTAAAAAATTCGAGATTATAAAAATCTCCTCATATCTGAATGGTTTATCAAGTTTTAGGATAAAAATGAAACAAAAAATTTTCAAATTATTTTTTGTTAAAAAAAATCAGTAAATCTTAAAGAAATGACCTGGATCCGGATCCATTTTTTCCAGTGCGGATCCAAGATACGGATCCGCATTTATTTAATGGATCCAAAGCACTGGTTTATTTTAGAACAACATTTTCGGTTGTTTGCTATCTCCTGCATATTTTACATTTCAAAAATTAAAATAAGGTATATGAGTAGAGAAGAGAAGAGTTTAGACATTCAAATACATTTTATGTTAGGAATGTTAGTGATCAAATGTATTTTTTTTATTGGTTATCTTTTTTTGGTATTCATGAGTTCATTTCTTTATCATTTTCTTTTTTAAACTTGTAAATCTTTACATCTTGTTTAACTTCTCAGAGACTCGTAATTTAAAATGACAATGCATTGATAGCGTAGCATATCTGATTAGGGAGGGGGTACAGAGCATCCATCAGCCTTGCAAACTGACCTCCGGAGCCTCATGATTCGAATAATGTTCTCCTAGCCAATCAAAAATCGTCTCCGAGCCTCATGCTACAGTGTGTCCCAATAAACATGGAAATTCAGTGACGAATTTGACATCGTCTTTTTAAAAAATTCTTTCGAGTTAGTATAGTGATACCTACTGAGAAAGCTGTAATCTGTAAGAGTTTCGTCTGCTATGTTCACATTTTGTTTGTTTATGTTTTGACTGCATACGGTTGTACTTAGTAAAGCGAGAAAATTACAGTATACAAACAGAGTAAACTTGTCCGTATTCATAACAAAGACGATATTAAATTCGTCACTGAATTCCCATGTTTATCGGGACACCCAGTACATCCGCTAAGCTCGACCCCGTTTCTATCTCTTATACGTCTAGCAATTCAGTAACAATAATTAGGCTTTTACACCCACCAAAAGCATTTCTTACGAAAAATAACCTGATCATACAGGTTTTAATAGTCTACTTTTAATGAGATTAAGACATGTACAATTCTAACTGCACTGAGGGAGGGGGGTGCAGAGGCGCCATGAGCCCCGCAAAATTGACCTCCAAAACTCCAGATTTGCAGAATGACAACCAGGCCCCGCGAAACCGTCTCCGTGCCTCTCGCTATGCCTCCCTCCCTCGTCTAATTCAAAACGGTTCATTTTCATGATCAAGATTTTACTGAACAAGTCAGACAATATTTTAAAAAGCTCTTAGATCCTTTTTATTGGATTAACATGCAGGGTTAGCAAATGAAATATAGAGGCATATTCTTGAAGAAAGTATATTTTACATAAACGATTACAAAGTGACATTCTTTTTCCAATTTTATCAGGATGTAAGAAATTATCGATCAGAGTTTTATTATTACATAATAATGTTTTTGTGTAATATTAATTGAACCTTGTAAATAAAAATGGCATTCTAGAAGTTTTAGAGAATTTACAAAAGCATTTCTGAGGGATGAAATTGAGTTATAATTAAGTCTTCAGTATTTTGTATTAAACGGGAAATCGCACTACATTTTCTGAATTATTTTACCAGGAAACTAAATGTTTGGTATATAAGTCGACCCAATTAACTTGAAATCTTGAACCCATGAAAGCTAAGAACATTCCCGAGTTCCCCAATCACAATATTTGAGTCAAATCAGTCCAGGGATTTCAATATGAGGGAAGCTGTCATAAGTTTTTTCAACTCCAAGATTTATAATTTTAATGTTTATTTTAGTGCGATATGTTTTAATAGATAAAATTTCGAAAATATAATTAACATCGAAATATATATATTCGTTTATTAAGTACAACTGTGTAACAGAGTACTTTGTAGTTGAATAAATTTCTAAAAACATGCTTCACATTTATTATTTTGTTGAAAGGGAAGGATAGAGCTTAAAAGAAAGTTAAAACTATAATTTAAGTAAAATAAGGGACTGAAAATTAATTACATTTATTCGACTTTGAGTTTTGACATTTTGACTTTGATGTATATATAAATGTCGTAGAATATATGAGTACAATTATCAAGTCTTAAGACTTATTTTTCCTCGTTAAAAGAGGAAAGGTTTTTTTTCAACTGGGTTCGCCCCAGAGGCGCAACTAGGGGGGGCGGCCGGGCGCGCGCCCTCCCCTAGCACCTGAGAAGGGGGGAACTCATATCATTCATTTTACAGCTGTTGGAAGTATAAATTTTGTAAAAACACAAAACAAAAAATCGATTTGAATTGAACACAGCTGCAAATCTGCATGCAACAATTTAAAATTTCCTTTTTTCGACTTCAAACCCTTAAAAAAGCACTTATGTTTTTGAAAAATTTTCGAAAAAGGGGGGGAAACCCCCCCTTAGCCCCCGACCATTACAAAATAATATATTGCCCCCCCCTAGCAAAAGTCCTAGTTGCGCCTCTGGTTCGCCCCATCCATTATACAGGTTGGGTACTTACAATCCATTTTCCTTTAGGCGTAGTCGAGTTAAAAGAAATGTTCATCGACAAGATTCCGATATCAAAAATGTCAATGTCGTCACTTTAAATTTCAATAGCAAAATTATTTGTTCGAGCAGAGTTTGTAAGTTTTAATATACATATTAGCAGTTCTATATTAGTTTTAAAAATAAGATGATTAGCGTATACAAGCTTATATTTAGTTTCGTTCCAGCTTTCATTCCTTTATTCTAAGACTTCATTCTGATAGATTTAGTATTTTTAGGCTTAGAAATCATGTATTTAATTTTAGATATTTTTAAGGTAAATTTGTTTAAGGCAACCACATTGGATAAATAAATATCTACGGGCAAACCATCCAGCAGCTTTTTAAAGTAATAAGTTTGCCATACAGTGAAGGTCAATGAAGTTATTTCCGCTGAGCTGAAATGTACTATCATCTGCAAATAAAATGGAAAGAAATTCAAGGAGCAATGAGCATCCTCATACGACTTTATTTGTTTCCACCCTCTGTTCCAACTAAAAACAGCTTTAAAACAGAACTAGAGATAGCTCTAAATAGAGATTCCACGTCAGAGGGATGAGGAAAATGGAGGGATCAGATGAGGAGAGTAGAGGGATGAGGAGAGTAGAGAGATGAGGAGAGTAGAGAGATGAGGAGAGTAGAGAGATGAGTAGAGTAGAGAGATGAGGAGAGTAGAGGGATGAGGAGAGTAGAGGAGAGTAGAGGGATGAGAAGAGTAAAGGGATGAGGAGAGAAGAGAGATGAGGAGAGTAGAGAGATGAGGAGAGTAGAGGGATGAGGAGAGTAGAGAGATGAGGAGAGTAGAGGGATGAGAAGAGTAAAGGGATGAGGAGAGAAGAGAGATGAGGAGAGAAGAGAGATTAGGAGAGTAGAGAGATGAGGAGAGTAGAGAGATGAGAAGAGTAGAGAAATGAGGAAAGTAGAGGGATGAGAAGAGTAAAGGGATGAGGAGAGTAGAGAGATGAGGAGAGAAGAGAGATGAGGAGAGTAGAGGGATGAAGAGAGTAGAGAGATGAGGAGAGTAGATGGATGATGAGAGAAGAGAGATGAGGAGAGTAGAGGGATGAGTAGAGTAGAAAGATGAGGAGAGTAGAGTGATAAGGAGAGTAGAGAGATGAGGAGAGTAGATGGATAAGGAGAGTAGAGAGATGAGGAGAGTAGAGAGATGAGGAGAGTAGAGATATGAGGAGAGTAGATGGATAAGGAGAGTAGAGAGATGAGGAGAGTAGAGAGATAAAGAGAGTAGATGGATAAAGAGAGTAGAGAGATGAGGAGAGTAGAGGGATAAGGAGAGTAGATGGATTAGGAGAGTATTGAGATAAGGAGAGTAGAGAGATGAGGAGAGTAGAGAGATGAGGAGAGTAGAGGGATAAGGAGAATAGAGGCGGGATTCGAGGAGAGTAGAGAGTAGACGGATGAGGAGAGTAAAGGGATGAGAGTCGAGTAGAAAGATGAGGAGAGTAGATGGATAAGGAGAGTAGTAGAGTAGTGGGATGAGTAGAGTAGAGGGATGAGGAGAGAAGAGGGATGAGGAGAGTAGAGGGATGAGGAGAGTAGATGGATAAGGAGAGTAGTAGAGTAGTGGGATGAGTAGAGTAGAGGGATGAGGAGAGTAGAGGGATGAGGAGAGTAGAGGGATGAGGAGAGTAGAGAGATGAATAGAGTAGAGAGATACGGAGAGAAGAGGGATGAGGAAAGTAGAGAGATGAGAGGAGTAGAGGGATAAGGAGAGTAGAGAGATGAGGAGAGTAAAGGGATGATGAGAGTAGAGAGATGTTGAGAGTAGAGAGATGAGGAGAGTAGAAAGATGAGGAGAGTAGAGAGATGAGGATAGTAGAGAGATGAGAAGAGTAGAGAGATGAGGATAGTAGAGAGATGAGGAGAGTAGAGGGATGAGGATAGTAAAGAGATGAGGAGAGTAGATGGATGAGGAGAGTAGAGAGATGAGGAGAGTAAAGGGATGAGGATAGTAGAGAGATGAGGAGAGTAGAGGGATGAGGAGAGTAGAGAGATGAGGAGAGTAGAGAGGAGAGGAGAGAGATGAGGATAGTAGAGAGATGAGGAGAGTAGAGGGATGAGGAAAGAGTAGATGGATAAGGAGAGTAAAGAGATGAGGAGAGTAGATGTATAAGGAGAGTAGAGAGATGAGGAGAGTAGAGGGATGCGGAGAGTAGAGAGATGAGGAGAGAAGAGGTATGAGGAGAGTAGAGGGATAAGGAGAGTAGAGAGATGAGGAGAGTAGAGGGATGAGGATAGTAGAGAGATGAGGAGAGTACAGGGATGAGGAGAGTAGAGAGATGAGGAGAGTAGATAGATAAAGAGAGTAGAGAGATGAGGAGAATTCGAGGGATAAGTAGAGTAGATGGATAAGGAGATTAGAGAGATTAGGAGAGTAGATGGATGAGGAGATTATAGAGATCAGGAGAGTAGAAGGATAAGGAGAATAGAGGCGGGATTCGAGGAGAGTAGAGAGTAGACGGATGAGGAGAGTAAAGGGATGAGGGTCGAGTAGAAAGATGAGGAGAGTAGATGGATAAGGAGAGTAGTAGAGTAGTGGGATGAGTATCGAGTAGAGGGTTGAGGAGAGTAGAGAGATGAGTAGAGTAGAGGGATGAGGAGAGTAGAGGGATGAGTAGAGTAGAGTAGAGGGATGAGGAGAGTAGAGGGATCAGAAGAGTAAAGGGATGAGGAGAGTAGGGTGATGAGGTTTTGTGATGATAAGGAGCTTTCTCATCTAAACCTGAAATAAATCAATCAGTCAACTTTCATTGTTGTTTGTTATTGTACACTTTACCCTACTTTGTTTACAACGGATGGTTAACTAAAATCGTCTGATTTGTGAAGAAACTTAATCTGAGTATATTTTAAGCTCCGTGCTCCTCTGATCCCTGAAAGCTATAAAAATGTTGATTTCCTGCCACAGTTGTAAGATAAGAAATCCGAGATGTTTCACAAGTGTGAAAACTCCCTCCTCCTCATTTGACAATGTCAGATTATGCTGAACGTATCCGGAGCAGGATGTCTGGATCTCCAGATCATATTCCTCAGTCCTACCCTCCCATAGGATCAATTTCTGGGAGCCTTGATCCTCCTAGAGCTATCACAGAGGGATCCAACAAAAGACAGTTCTTGGCAGCTTTCGCAGGTTTGGTTTAAATCCTGATTCGTAAAACATTAAAAAATAATATTAAATTCATTATTTTCAGCAACTATGGGAAACCTTGTGATGGGAACATGCATAGCTTGGTCAGGTTCAGCGCTCCCAGGTCTCAAACTACCTGCAGCTCAGGACGGATTTGAAGTCACTGAATCAGAGGGGAGTTGGATCGGTAGTTTACTCCCCCTGGGAGCCCTACTAGGAGCACCACTAGGAGGTTATCTCAGTTCCAGGTTTGGTAAGAAGGGGGCAATGTTCCTAGACGCAGGATTCTTCTCTGTTGGATATCTGATTCTAGCTGTAGCTCCGGTAACCTGGACCCTATATATTGGTAGGTTTGTATGTGGAATAGCTACTGGAATATCCTGCACTACCTGCCCAATATATGTAGCAGAAATTTCAACTCCCAATTACCGCGGGCTCCTGGGTTCAGGAATGCAGGTTATGGTTGTTTTAGGAGTTCTCCTATCTATCTCTGTTGGAGCAGTTCTATCCTGGAGATGGCTGTCTATAGTATGTCTAGCCGCAGTGCTCCTCTGGTCAGTTCTTCTATTCCTGGTACCAGAAACTCCAGCTCAGCATATAATGGACAAGAAGTATAGAGAAGCTCGAGAGTCCCTGGAATGGTTGAGAGAAACTATCTATGTCGAAGCGGAGTATGAAGAAATTCAACAAAGTGTTGAGGATGGAATATCCAGGTCTGGAGGAATACAAGATCTGATTAAGTCGGAGAATCTTGCTCCGCTCATCATTTCTCTAGTTTTGATGTTTGGTCAGCAGATGAGCGGGATGAATGCAGTTCTATTTTACGTTGTGGATATATTCACTGCTGCAGGGAGCAGTATTCCACCCTCTATTGAGTCAATTATAGTCGCTCTAGTTCAAGTAGTTGCAACCATACTCGGAGCAATCTTCATGGACAAACTTGGAAGAAGATTTCTCCTCATTTTTTCTTCTCTTGTCATGGTGATATCTATATCCTCTGTAGGTGCTTACTTCTATATCAAGGATAACCTCGGAGATACAGATCTAGCGACGAAACTTCAAATCCTTCCTGTCGCGTCTCTATCCATCTTTGTGTTCGCCTTCAGTGTTGGATTTGGACCAATACCTTGGCTCATGACCGCAGAAATATTCTCCCCCGAGGTTCGAGGTCCAGCATCATCTATAGCGACTGCGTTCAATTGGGCCCTAGCATTCATTGTTACCAAGTTCTTTTCCAACCTTGTTTCTGCGATCTCGGAAGCATTCTCATTCTGGGTCTTCGGATCTCTCACTGCACTCGTTCTATTGTTCTGCGTTCTTTTTGTTCCAGAAACTAAAGGAAAAAGTTTAGATAGTATCCAGAGTATGTTCCGGTCTGGTTCTCCGTACTTCCTGGAGATAGGAGTGTGGAAGCTGTGTAGGAGAAGAAGTAGACCCGACCAAGTTCTTCTAGTTGAGGAGGAGTATTAAAACCTTGAGATTGAGATTATTATTCTCAGATCTGATTTGTGCAACGCTCTGTGATAGTCATAAATTTTTCTCTTTCATTGTTATTATTTAAGTAATAAAATTTTTCTCAACCATATATTGCAAGTTAAATAAGAAATTGAATTTGACCAAATTCATGTAGTGTAATCTTTTGGACGGTTTCCGAAAACTGTAACTTTATTCTTACTATGTCAAAGTAGTCCGTACACACATACTTTATTTAAAACCGACTATTAAAGTTGACCTATAGATCGTCTAGTTAAAGTTTGAAGTATTAATAAGGATAATTTATCAATTATTATAAAAAGGGCCTTGTTGTTACTAATTAATAAATTTTAAGCTAAAAATTCTTGACATTTTCTGCGCAAAAAGGAAGATATTTAGAGAACAAATTCCGAATTAAATTTTTGATTTCAGTGACACGCTTTTTTGCAATTCTTATTGAAAAAAAATATATATCAATTATCTATTTATGTCTGAACATTTCTTAAAAAAGAAGGCATTGCTTAAATTAGATTACAACAAAGCAAAGTTATGTTCACTCCAGAAATGTTTCTCCAAATCTTCCTTTCGGCAAAAATGTTAAAAGTTTCAGTATTAAGTACTAAATGAGTAGATGCTAGTTAATAATCATGAAATTTGTATACTACTATAAATAAAATTGTTAGAAATAATTCATTGCACATAAAAACCTTTACTCTTTAGCGGAGGCTCGTACAGCGAACCAAATCTGAGAGACTGGGGGCTCCCTCCCCCCTTTACGAATACAAATTTAAAATAAAATTTCAACCTTAAAAGCTGTAAAGGAAAAATGAAAGAAGTATAGGATGAAACCTGAGGTTCTCAGGTTTTGAACGATACCTATAAGTCATCTATCTGATGTTCCTGTCTCAAGAAATTGACATAAAACTGTGTCAAAATTTTATCATAACGGCCATATGCCAGATTTAGAATAAGTTGTAGTATTTAACAGATAATATTCAACAAATTCGCCACAAATATGTAACGCCTACACCCAACACAGGGTTAATCCTATACCCCCTTTCATTTTTCCTTTACAGTCCCTTTAAGTAAGGTTTGGTTGTTAAAATTCTCATGTGAAAAGAAGCAGATTAACGACAACAAAAAGTTAGCTTGTCCACAAACGTTAACCCAAGAAGATAATTTCTAGTTTAAAATGACTACTTTTTTCTTCAAAAACACAAGAAATGAATGGTTATCTATATTTTTTTTTGAGTTGCGGGATAATAATAATAAGGCTTAGTATATGTATCGGTGTCCACGAAATCGACGTTTTAATTTAGCGTGATTGAACGAAAATAATGTTTTTGTTTTGTTTTTATTCTTCACTAAAAATTTACAATGTGTTTAACAAATATTAAGAGTATTAAATCAGTCCACTGGCTATATGTGCAAAGTTGGAAATATTCAGAAAAAAAATCAATTTCACTCAGATTCATTTTATAATAGAGGTATGAAAAACTATTAATAAAGTATATGTGCAAGGTTGGAAATATTCAGAAAAAAAATCAATTTTACAAAGATTCATTGTATAATCGAGGTATGAAATACTATTAATAAAGTAAAAACTGGTGGTCGAATTTTCACTAGAAGGGAAAAAAATTTTAAGAAAAGTAAAAAAAAATTACGTAACAGTAACGGAGTCATTAGCGACATATTTTAGAGATTGACAAAACGAACAATATTTCTCCATCCAATCTTCCCAAGGATTTCCACCCTGAGCTCAGTATTGAATCCTATTCTGTTAAAAACATCCAAGTTTTCAGTCTCCCACGGTTCCAGGTTTTCCGAGCCTTGCAAAACACAGGGAATGGATGTGAATCTCTCTTGTTGCAAACTGGCAGGAAGAGGACGGATCTCAGTTATGGAAAACTCATCTTCTACACCTATGTCGACCAGAAGAACCTGAAAACAAAATGTTACAGCCATCGAAGAATTAAAAAGGAAATAAATTAACGACATTAAACCCTTTCCGGTACAATTCCCCCCAAAAATTCATCAATTTTCTTATTAAAAAAATTATTTACCCACACTCCATTTAAAATTACGTCCTAAATATAAGGCGAGGAAATTCGAAATTAAATAGACATGGTCATTTAAAATTGGAAAGGTGTGTAGACTACCTGAATAATATTCAAGTCTTGACACTTCTTAACAAGTGCTCTGCACCAGGTTCCTCCACTAGAAACTAGAACTAGATCACCAGGTTCAGCTTTCAATCCTTTACTCGTCGATTCAGTCTTTAAACTCTCCTCGGTCAGTCTAGATATCTTCTCTATCCACCTTAAAATAAAATCATTAAAACAGACAAAGAGACTAATAAAACTGTGGAATAGGAAGATGACTGTAAAAATGAAGTTACGATTTCAATTAATCTTGTAAACATGAAATAAAGTACAGAGATATCTATTATCTCTGTACCGCTATAAATCGGATCCACTTTGCATGGAGGGTAACTTGAAATCACGCTTACCAGTGCTTAAGATCCATTTAATTTTGATGCGGATTTCGGATCCTGGATCCGCACTGGCAAAAAATGGATCCGGATCCAAGTCATTTCTTTAAGATTTACTGAATATGTTTAACAAAAAATAATTTTCAAATTTTTTTCGTTTATTTTATCTTAAAACTTGATGAACCATTCAGAAATGATGAAATTTTTATAATCTCTCTTTTTTTCAAAAGTTCAGATTTGGGTTTTAGGAGTAAAATTTTTTTTTGCAGTTTTTGGTTGTCATTTTACCCCTTGGATCCGGATCCGTGGATCCGCATAATTTTGCGGATCCGGATCCAGAAAGCCAAAATCTTGAGGATCCAACGGATCCTAAGCACTGACGCTTACAGTCCCTTTAAGCTACAGGTGAAACTATTTGCTTTTTAAGCTCAGATTCTCTTAACACTTCCTATTCCAGAGATCCAAGTTCACTGTATATTCATAAATCTTTAATATAAAACCAACCTATTTATCAGTTCCTTTGTTGATACATAGAATAGGCTGGTGGATGCGTTGGAAAGTAGAACTACTTCATAAATACCAGGATCCAAGTCGGAGAAATTGTTTCCAACTGTATCCATTATCTTCGACTCGAAATATGCAATTGCGGAAATTTTTGTGTTCAAGTTGAAATCCTGGCTGCTCAGGATGACCTTGTCCCCTGAGATATGAACCGTGTAGATTATTTCCTGATTAGCAAGGGTTGAAATCTCTCTAGAGAACTGAAGTGCTTCTCTAGACGGAACATCTTTCAGTAGAACCATCTGTGCGTACCCCTCAGAGCTAAACAATCCGTCAGGAATAGGAATTAATTCCTTCCAACTTATTATTTTATTTAATCCTTCGTCAATTAAGAAGACTTCAGCCAACATTTCCTCGGTAAATATGTTTTCTATCCTCCCTCGAAAGATACGATCATTATCAGAGGGGCAGGCCACATATCCACCCAAAACAGGAATATTATCCAGATTAACAGGAAAAAATTCAAGTTTTAGGTTCAGAGTAGTCAGTTCTCCATTTAAGTGATCCCGATCTAGCTTCTTTATGACATATATCTTGTTGAGCGAATCTCCACAATTCAGGAATATTACCTGGTCCCCGTCTACAATACTACGATCCATAGAAACTATTTCATCCATGCGAGGTTCAGATTCGATAACTAAAAACTATGCAATTAGAAAAAAACTCAAAATTATCAATTCACCTTACCTTCAAGTTCGAACCTCGCCTGGTCCAGCTCTACAAGAACATCCCTCATGTTCATTCCTTCCTCATCAACCATGATCACCTTGTATCCATCCTTATCCTGGGTTTGAGGAGTAACTTGGAAAGTTGTACCTCCGTCAATGTCCACGAGTTCTTTAAAAGTCTCTAGACTCTCATCAGACCAAACTTCACCCTGGAGAGGTTGTATTCCTGCCAACCCTACTCTTCTAACCAACCCTGGAGTATTCCTGTGAGTCTCTAGCTTCATCAGACTTGACACAGGTTTAGTTTCTCTGCTTCCATGATCAATAAAGAATACTCTTACTTCACCAGTATTTGAAGACACCTGCTCAATCTTACATCTACTCCACAAACCCCCTTGTTCAGAAATACAAATATTACCAACTTCTACTAGATCCAGACTGGTACTAGGGTTCTGAATATCCATCAATATCTTCTCCCAAACCTCCTGATTTTCAAGTGGAGATACATAGAATGAATCAGGAGACTCTACGTAAGAGACAGTACAGCGGTATGTTGCCATATTTGGTGGTGTAGGAATAGCAGCTGACTTCTTTACCAGTGTTGGAACAACAGCTGATTTCTGTACCGGTGTAGGAACAACAGCAGACTTCTGTTCTGGTGTGGGAACAGCAGCTAACTTCTGTACCGGTGTTGGAACAACAGCAGCTGACTTCAGTACAGGTGTTGAAACAACAGCAGCTAACTTCTGTTCAGGTGTAGAAACAACAGCAGCTGACTTCTGCACCGCTGTTGGAACAACAGCAGCTGACTTGTGTAACGGTGTTGAAACAACAGCAGCTGACTTCTGCACCGCTGTTGGAGCAACAGCAGCTGACTTGTGTAACGGTGTTGAAACAACAGCAGCTGACTTGTGTAACGGTGTTGAAACAACAGCAGCTGGCTTCTTTACCGGTGTAGAAACAATAGCAGACTTCTGCTCTGGTGTAGAAAACTTCTCCCAAACCTCCTGATTTTCAAGTGGAGATACATAGAATGAATCAGGAGACTCTACGTAAGAGACAGTACAGCGGTATGTTGCCATATTTGCCAGTGTAGGAACTGCAACTGAATTATGTGGTGGTGTAGAAACAACTGATTTCTGCACTGTTCTAGGTATCACAGCAGTCTTCTGCACTGGCGTAGGAACAATAGCTGGCTTCTGTGCTGGTGCAGTTGGATTCTGTACCAGTGTAGGAACAACAGCTGGGTCCTGTACTGGTGTGTAAGCAACAACTGGTTTCTGCTCTGGTGTAGAAACAGCAGACTTCAGCACTGGTGTAGGAACAGTGGCTGGGTTCTGTGCTGGTGCAGGAATCACAACTGGTTTCTGTACTAGTGTAGGAACCACGGGGGTTTGCTCTGCAACGATCTCTTGTACTAGATTAACTGAGACAACAGGTTTCATGGTATCTACTGACACAGGAAAATTATCTGAAAATATTAGTGCTGTTACGTGATTATTATCTGTGACTAATAAAGATATTTATGAAAGTGAAAATGAAAGGGGACGGTTTTCTCTCTTCCCCTTATTGAAAATTGAAAAGTTTTCGAGATTACTGTCTCATCGTCAGAATAATTAGATGTAGATAAAAAAGTGTACCTTCTGGATCCACAACCAAATCTGATGACCTCGCTTGGTTCAGCTCTACAAGAATATCCCTCATGTTCAATCCTTCCTCATCAACCATTATCACCTTGTATCCATCCTTATCCTGGGTTTGAGGAGTAACTTGGAAAGCTGTACCTCCGTCAATGTCCACGAGTTCTTTAAAAGTCTCTAAACTATCATCAGACCAAACTTCACCCTGTAGAGGTTGTATTCCTGCCAACCCTACTCTTCTCACCAACCCTGGAGTATTCCTGTGAGTCTCTAGCTTCATCAGACTTGACACAGGTTTAGTTTCTCTGCTTCCATGATCAATAAAGAATACTCTTACTTCACCAGTATTTGAAGACACCTGCTCAATCTTACATCTACTCCACAAACCCCCTTGCTCAGAAATACAAATATTACCAACTTCTACTAGATCCAGACTGGTACTAGGGTTCTGAATATCCATCAATATCTTCTCCCAAACCTCCTGATTTTCAAGTGGAGATACATAGAATGAATCAGGAGACTCTACGTAGGAGACAGTGCAGCGGTATGTTGCCATATTTGGTGGTGTAGGAATAGCAGCTGAATTCTTTACCGGTGTTGGAACAACAGCTGATTTTGGTACCGGTGTAGGAACAACAGCAGACTTCTGCTCTGGTGTGGAAACAGCAGCTAACTTCTGTACCGGTGTTGGAACAACAGCAGCTGACTTCTGTACTGGTGTAGAAACAACAGCAGCTGACTTCTGTACCGGTGTAGAAACAACAGCAGCTGACTTGTGTAACGGTGTTGAAACAACAGCAGCTGACTTCTGCACCGCTGTTGGAACAACAGCAGCTGACTTGTGTAACGGTGTTGAAACAACAGCAGATGGCTTCTGTACCGGTGTAGAAACAATAGCAGACTTCTGCTCTGGTGTAGAAACAGCAACTAGGGTTCTGAATATCCATCAATATCTTCTCCCAAACCTCCTGATTTTCAAGTGGAGATACATAGAATGAATCAGGAGACTCTACGTAAGAGACGGTACAGCGATATGTTGCCATAGGAGTGGCATTTTCAGGATACTCTCGTCTACTTGTAGTTACTGCATGAGACTTGAGTGGGGTTGTACCAGGGTTACGAGGGGTCTGCTCTGATGTAGATACTTCACCAAGAGATGTCTTCACTGACAGAGTAGATGCTGACTCCTGCACTGTTGAAGTGGCAGTTAACGTATCTTCAGGATTTACTGAATTGCTGGTAATACAGGATTCAGTATCTGTATTAGGGAAGGATTCTTTCAACTCATATTTCCGAAAGGAACAATCGATTGAACAGTTTTGAATAAGAGTTGACTCACCATTCTTAGTTTGAATGAGCAGATCTTTAAGACTATGCTCCCCATTCTTTAGAATTTCAACGGATAATCTTCCACTAGGCTCTCTTCCAAGGATTATCATGTCTAGAGAACTGTTTTCACTATTCAGAAAACTTCTACTGAGGGCACAGGCATTATCTCCCCATTCTTCCTTATTCAAGGGCTTAACTCCGCCTAGCGACACCTACAAGAACAGATTGTTAAGCTAGAGATAGACAATTAGACATTTTTTTATCTTCCACACGCAAAATTTAACAAGAAAAAGTTTCCAGCACAGCTATTTATTCTCAAGGAAATTTTTATGATGGACTATAAGAAAGTGGAATACCAATCTTTTAAATTACAATCGCAATTAATGTTAGATTTAACTGGAAGATAAAGAAATATTAACCTGAACTGAGCAGACAGGATAATTAAAAGCTTGATCTGACAAGGGTCGAAGATTGCTTTGCTTCACACATACGGTTTGTCCAGTGTCGGGGAGATACACCACAAACTCTCCACTCTTCTTCTTAATTGCATAACCCCGGAACCAAACCTCATTGTACTTTACAGCAACAGGAGACGACTTCTCCACCTTCCAGATCAGAGGTTCAGGTTGACTACTTAGAGACTGAAGAAGACTTTCTATCTTGGAAGAGCTGATACGACTAATACTCAACTCAACGTTGAACTCGGACGGAGAAACAAAGACACTAATAGGACTGATCAACTCATACTTCAGATTTAGCTCAAGCTCAGGTTCAGAAAACAAAGAGTGGAATATTCCAGGTTTAAATTTGAACTCTGATGTAATAGTTTTCTTTGTTTCATGTTTCACCCTGTCGCCAGACCCATTGTGTTCTAGATCTTCTTTGGTTTCGATTCCACTCTTGGTCGCCTTCACTTCCTCTTGGGTCCTGCTAAATTCCTTCACCTCATCTTGAGTCCTGGTCAATTCCTTCACTTCATCTTGGGTCCTACTCAGTTCCTTCACCTTATCTTGGGTCCTGCTCAATTCCTTCATCCCATCTTGGGTCCTGTTCAGTTCCTTCACATCTTCTTGGGTCCTGCTTAATTCCTTCACCTCATCTTGAGTCCTGCTCAGTTCCTTCACCTTATCTTGGGTCCTGCTCAATTCCTTCATCCCATCGTCCTGTTCAGTTCCTTCACATCTTCTTGGGTCCTGCTTAATTCCTTCACCTCATCTTGAGTCCTGGTCAATTCAACAATTCTACTTCCAGTCGTCTTCACCTCTTCTTGGTTGCTAGGGTACGAAGTTTCATCTATGATATTGGTTCCAGGAGTAACTACATTCTTGGTACCTTGATTAGCTTTCTTGCTGCATTCAACAATTCCACTTTGGGTAGTAATCGCCTCTTCATTGGTACTAGTGTTCAATGATTCATCCTTTCTGACCACGTCCACCTTAGCAGCACTAAATATTCAATCATTTAATAAAGCTATCTTCTCATGCATAACTCAGTTTACCATATCTTGTGATAACATTTTTATCACAAGATATTATATATAAATCATACATGAGTTATAAAATACAACTCACGCTGTCGAAGAATGTTAAAACAGAACAAAAAATGTCAGCAAATGATCTGAGGTCGAATTTCAAGAATTATGGATGGTTCCATTTAAAATTGTTTTCAATGCTTCAAGATTTAAGCCGGCGCTCAATTGAAACCAGTTTTTGGCGGATTTGAAACGCGGCTCAAATTCATTATCGGCAAACTTTATAACATTTTAATATCATATTTAGTATGGTTCATGAAAAGTCAGTTCTTGAAACAGCGAGTGTAGAGGAAGTTACGTACCTGGAGTTGGTCCTTGAAACAATGAGTGAGGAGGAAGGGTTGATTGGAGTTGAGTCTAACATAGATCCAGCAGGATGCATTAGAGGAGGAGGAGGAATACAGTCATATTTGTGTATCGGCCAGGAGTGAACTTGACATTTATAACTGCAATACCAAACCTTAAAAATATTAAATTATTAGGCTAAAAAGCTTGAACACACTTTTATAGAAAGATATTTGATCATAAGGAATAATTGAAGTCTTCAACTGAATAAAAATTTTAAAACTACCATTTTTAATTTGGTTGTCGTTTCTTTCTCCAGAAATAATTATTTTATATTCCACAAAAATTATTCATTTCACCGTTTCAGTTATTTTCACTTTTTGTCAAGAGCTCGAGTGGAAATGATTTGATAAAAATAAATATCCCTGACGAATAAAAAATGTTTATTTCAAGCACATACCGAACAGATACATAGATATATTGGTAAAAACAAGGCATGCGAGTTCAGTGTTAGAGTTAAATGAGAATAGGTTAGGAAATTAAACTAAACTTTTTGCTATCCAATTGTGCAGAAATCAGCCAACAGCATTTGTTTGAGGCTATTTGTAAAAATGGCCAAAGTATATCTCGCCATGATTTCTTATCAAAGTAGTTTCTACTATAACATAATTTTAGACCGATACAGATTACATATTTTATCATGTATATTGTATACGGGCCTAATGTATGTCTTATATATTATAGAACAAGACATTCATAAATATTCCCTATGGCTGACTAAACGAAGGGACCGAATGGGTTGAAATTTTGTGTGGACAATTATGGGTAGCCTGGATGTGTTGAAGGCTAAAAACTTGGATTTTTTAATTTGTTTCCACAGGCATTGGGCAACGCCGGGCCCTTCAGCTAGTAATGTATATTACTTGTTTTTGTTTCCAACCCTGTTAACTAACTAAAAGAAAAGGACAATCCTTTTTATTAGGTTTCTATCAAGTGTAATGAGAACTAAACAAATCCTAGTCACAAACTCTAATTTTCTAATCCCTATATCTTTGCAACCCAATGTAGTGGACCTTTGATATTATAAAATGTGAATTCTGTTAGATAAAATATTCTACGTTTAAAATATCAAAGGTTTAAAAGGTTTATTTATCAGGTTGTAAAGAAAAAGGGATTAGAAAATTTGAGTTTGTGGCAAAGGCTCAATTTATTTTAGGAATAGAGATAAAGCAGACTCGTCAGAAAAGACTAAGAAGAAGTGCACTTATTGCCGTAACATGACAGATGTCAATTTAAAAATAAGAATTCACCTGGCAAACTGAGCATACCAGTCGTCCCTTTCCCCTACAATGGTCACAGGGATGAGGGTCATATCTAGGCTGGAAGAGAGGATATCCCCAGGTATTAGATTCCTCAACACCAACATTATCTTTAGCAAACCTTGATCTCTCATCTAAACCAAGAAATAGTTACATCAGAACAGACGAGTTTCTGTTGAATTTATATTGGTTTATGAAACTTGCACTCTCACTTGGCCTAAAGTTACATCTACTGCCGGCCGCCGCACTATGGCTTAAAGTGTCAAAAAAACGGAAACAATCAATTACTGCTTAGATGCTTACAAAATCAATACCAGAAATAACCCGCATGGAATTAAGAAATTCATTTCTAGTAGAATTCAGCATGCATGAGTTCATCATTCAGCATGCATGTGGGATGCATTGCATGCTGGAGGCATCTTCATGAAACCGTTAAAATAGTATGACAACCTTCTGTTCTGTCATCAACTAATCCATTTCTAGGGTAAAAGTTGAGCTATGTGCATGCTAATTACATGCCGTCAAATGTTTTGAAAAAAGTTAACCGAACTATAGATTTATATTTTCTGGTTCAGCTAAACGATTTTAAGGCCATAGTTGAGGTAAATGCAACTGGGAAATCAAATTATTCAAAAATATTCAGAAGGATGTAATGTAGAGATATAAAAAATTCATTTGCAAGGAGGTTAGGCGACTTTTCAAAAAAAATGTACACCTCTGTTACAATTGTACTTCTCAGAAGAAATATGGTTATAATTCTACCTGTAACCAGACTCTTCTGTTTCAGGTCTCCTTCAGGCAGACAATTCTCATTAATATTCATTATCTTCTCCTCAGCTCTCTTAATTAATTCATCATAACTGTTCCTGGTTGTAGAATCAAAATCCTGCTCCAATTCTGTCTTCCTACACACGGAATTTGTCTATTTGTAAAATTTAAGCTAAATTAATTTGTTCATTGATGAATACATTTGTAAATTTTGAATATTTTAAATATACTGAAGATTTGTGTATTTGGTGTATCTTGAATATTTTGAATATAAGAAAGATGTAATTATTTTGAATATTTTGAGTACATTTCGATTTGTGTAATTTGAATTTTTAGAATATGACAATTCCCTACGCCAGTTTTCTTTAGTTTTCTTTGTAGTGAACCATGATACTTGTAGACGTAAAGGTTTCTGATCATGTAAACTCTCAATGGCAGCTGCTCCTTCTCTCTTAACAGGAAATCAATCAATTAATTTACATCAAAATAATACGATTTTCAAAATTACCACTTTGTATTTAGTGTGGAAAAATTTATACCTTGCTCAGAAATGAAACTTTACCCCAGGTCGTATTCTCGTTCCTCGCGGGCTTCCCTGAAGAAATGGAAGTGTTGATTTCTAAAAATACTTCAGTTTTTTTGTTCATGCCACGGCCGTATATTTCAATTGCTCCGACTACTGCCCCCAATTTCAGAAATAAAATCGAAATTAATCTGTTATTATACCACAATATCAGATAAAACATTCTATCCTTTACACGACCTGCTAATTCGATTTATTTAATATAGGATCATTTCTCAAATATCTATCTCCGGTATGAATTCATGCATGCTAAACTTTTTTATTAATTATTATTAGATCTCTTATTAGATCAATGAAGAGGACTGTTTATTACATAAAGCGATTTCAAGCGACTCTCCGGGCTCTATGTGGCATGTCCCGACTCACAACGATACATTTAAAATCTTTATCCGAGCAACAAGTTCTCCTGTTTTTGAACCTCAAACGTGTTAAAATAAAAAAGTATGTCCTTTGTATTTTCAGCACAAGATCCGTTTGTCACTCTAAAATCGAACAAATTATCAAGAACTTGTAGGAAAAACAACTTATCAGGAACTTGTAGGGAAAACAATTTATCAGGAACTTGTAGGGAAAACAATTCATCAGGAACTTGTAGGGAAAACAATTTATCAGGAACTTGTAGGGAAAACCACTTATCAGGAACTTATAAAAAACAATTTATCAGGAACTTGTAGGGAAAACAATTCATCAGGAACTTGTAGGGAAAACAATTTATCAGGAACTTGTAGGGAAAACAATTCATCAGGAACTTGTACGGAAAACAACTTATCAGGAACTTGTAGGGAAAAGTAAAGGTAGTATTTAATATAACCAAAGATTTAGAAGAGAAATGGCTTCCGGAGCTTTTGGAAACAACACTGGGGACTATAAAACTTTGTGATCATCGCCTGGGAGTTTCAATAGGAGTGTGCGGGGATGCATAATCTTGGATAATACTATACCTAGGTAACAGTCCTGAACTTCTCCATAGTAGGAGAATAGACCTTTGAATCCTTTAATATTGAGAAGAAGAGGAATATTTCGTATAACCAGGGTGTATAGCTCGGTGGTTGGAATATCGTCCAACATGGTAGACCTGAAAATTTAAAATCTTTATAAAAAGCAGGCTTTTAAAATTTCTTCTTAAAGGGAGTGACCGGCAATGTTTAGTAGTTGAACTGAGAATAAAGTATTGTGAAGAAATTTTTCAAAATCATTCTAGACCTGTGAGCTTTTAAACCCTGATAGTTCGGTTTTGAGGGATGATTTGAGGAACAGTATAAAAAAAATTATTCAATAACGACGACGAAAAATGTGATAAAAATTCTACAGTAAACTAATTAGTTATTTAGGAACAGGTTGATAAATATTAACTATTATCATCGAAAATAAGTAATCTTTTTCACTTATTTGTTTCTGAAATGTCTCATTGTTCACAAACAAATTCTGTGGATTTCCTGGAATTTTTATTGAAAAGACAGCATTGAAGAAATCTGCAAATAAATTCAAAGAAAAGGAAATTCCGTATATTGATGAAAAAGAAATAATTGATTCTTACATTTATTTATTCAGAAAATTTCAATTGAGAAATATGTTCCGAAACATACGATCAGTTTACTGTAGAATTTTTTTTTCTTCATTTTTGTCGTCGTAAGATAATTTTTAAAAATCGGTTATCCAAAAGTGGAAAATTTTAAACGTCGACTTTGCACTCAAACTGAGAAATCATGCATTAGTAAAACGTTTTATTTGTCTCAACTGAATCCAAAAAATTCTCCCTAATACTACATTCTCAGTTAACTATCGTACATAACCGGTTACTACCATTAAATCTCTGTTCTAACAAGGGCTAGGTATGCAAGTTCTTTTTTATTTTCGCGCGAACATGCCATCTTCCGGGGATAATTCTTTTTCAAGAAAATATACACCCCTGTCTTACTTTCAATATCTTCTTAACGTTCAAGACTTTCTAACAAGGTGCCAAACCTAGTCAAGAAAATGTATAATAAACCTTAACTGTCAAGTTGCGAGTAAAAATCGGGAACCAAGAATGAAGGGAAAGGAAATGATGCTGGTCTGGCATGAAAAAGCCAGTCGCACTGCTTTGCAGACGAGTTCGGTATTACACATGCACACTTTTGATACAGACACACAAACCAAGACTACAGTCAATGAAATTGCAGAACAATGTCGTCAATTATAATTAAGCTTGAGTAACGAGTAGTTAATTGTAAACTTTAATCAAATTATATTCTTTGCATGAAAATTTGGCTTATTATAGTGTTGACTTAAATGTATGAATAATATATTACATGTATATTAAACTTATTTTTAAAGTTAAAAAATTAACAATAAACAAATGTACTCGACTAGACTGTATTAATACCGAGATTCTTATGTACTGTATATACCTACAGTACACACATTCCGTCTGGTATTACTTACACACTCTTTTAAGTTTTGGTACAGACACACAGACAGGACATTTCCGCCCTCTGGTAAAAATAAAATACCTGTTTATGAAACCTGGTTCTTGAGTCGGATTGAATACTCCGTACTGATTATTGATAGGATCCATGTAATCATCTAGCAGAGGATTACCAGACGCTTCTAGATATTCCTCAACCTCTTTATCTACCGCCATCCTTCCTAAAAGTAACTATTTAACCCTTTATCTGGGATGCTTTTTTTTAAAACAACCGAAAGGGGTAACTTTAAATCATATTTTTAACGCAAGAAGATTCTATTTTATCAAGGAGTAATTAATCATAAGCCAATTGTTGCAAGACGAAATGCGATGATTGTCATTAATATTTTTAACTCGTTAATAAAATTCTAACCTGATGAATCACTTATTTTATCCATTCGTTATTAGAAAATCTTGAAATGTGAAACGGAACCGTAAGTACTTGACAATTTTACTCTCTGAAAAGTACATGGTGAATGATAACATTTTAAACTAAATTACGCACCACTGCCGCGGAAAACTTGAAAAAGTTCGAAAAGTTTATTAATTGATTGAATTCGAACTACCTATTTCTTAAAGCTAGAGCTTTACAATGTATACCCCTAAACATGATATTATCTTGGTAAGAATAGAATGACGGTTCGTCATCCAGAAATGAACTATCTGTAACTTTAATCTCACCAAGTGCCAAACGCTGCGGCTAGGACAGACTATGGGGCCGAGCTCTGCGGCAAGGACAGACTAAGGGGCTGGGTGATGCGGCCCCATGGCTCCAAAAATGCCCTAAAATGCAATGTACAAAAGTCAAAAACAATAGGAGGGGAGGGGTGCGCGGGTTCAAAAGTTCGTTACTAAGAAATTACCGATTTCCTTTAACAATACTTGGGACTCGGTTCAGTTTAAAATGAATAAATCATATTTTGTAATTACTGAATCAGTCAAAGCTAAAATTTGCTAGTTCTCATCATAAATTCTATTGAGAGTTTAACCTAAATTAGACCTGCAGGCCCTGAACACTTTTATGACACAATAGATTTCATGAGATTAAAAAACATTAGACCTGCATGCCCTGAACACTTTTATGACACAGAATAGATTTCATGAGATTAACAAAATCACAAACATCTCTAGGCATAATATTGAGTTCAAATTAATATTAGGATGAGATTTCAAAACCACCCAATTCTCAAGATGACGACCAGTCGTTTCAATCAAGAAATTTTTATTGAGACATCAATCTAGTTCATTTATGACATTTGCTTGTTAAGTAATAAAATTTATTTCATTTTCATCAGAGCTTTATTAGATTAATTAGCACATTATGGGGCAAGCGCTGTTTCTCTATAGGACTTGAACTATAGGGGGCCTGGGACTGGGCCTCTTATCAAACCTAATCCACTTGTGTACGGTAATTTCCTGATATACGATTTTTAGCCCCCGCACCCCCTCCTATCAATTTAACCCCCCCCTCCTGTAGAGTTAAAGGTGGATCAAAGCAGACTGGATATTGTAGAATAAGTCTACATATAAAACTTTCTGCACAAATTTCGCCTGCACTTGCAAAACTTATTTGCCATTAGTCCCAAAATCTAGTTAATTAAGTTGTAAATGGTCATACAACTTTAATGATCACGTTCTAACAAAGAAAACCTGTAGGTAGTGGGGTTGGCACCCACCAACAAACGTCGTATTTAAGCGCTAAACCTTCGGTTAGAAATTTCGACACGCGTATCGAAAGAAACTATCAACCACGTGAGATTCGATCTTCTCATCTCTCTACTCTCCTCATCCCTCTACTCTCCTCATCTCTCTACTCTCCTCATACCTCTATTCTCCTCATCCCTCTACTCTCCTCATCCCTCTACTCTCCTCATCCCTTTACTCTCCTCATACCTCTTCTCTCCTCATCTCTCTACTCTCCTCATCCCTCTACTCTCCTCATCCCTCTACTCTCCTCATCCCTCTACTCTCCTCATCCCTCTACTCTCCTCATCACTATCTTCTCATCCCTCTACTCTCTTCCCTCTACTTTCACTCGTAATCCTCTTATTTCATTATCTCTCTATGTAAAGGAAACCCCGTATTTACCCATTGTACGGAGAACATTCTAAGTTTGGAGGCTGTGAGTTAAGTGTATGGAGTTTATAGTTTAGTACCTGTTGAGATGTTCAAATCGTCAACAGAGAGAAAGAGATACCATATTTTCTCACTACTAATAAACAATGAGATATATCTAAACGCTACCATATATATCTTTGGTCTGTGTACTGCAAATTACTTTAAAACGCACCGAAAGCTTAGTTGAGGTTGCAAGGCCCAGTGTGTAGCTAGGACAGTGTGCAGTTTAACTAGTAAATGGGTTGCAAGGATCAATTTGTAGCTAGGTGTTACAGTTCAACTAGTAAATGGGTTGCAAGGATCAATTTGTAGCTAGGTAATACAGTTAAAATAATAAATATTGTTGCAAGGATCAACTTGTAGTTAGGTGTTATATAGTTCAACTAGTAAATATCGTTGCAAGGATCAACTTGTAGTTAGGTGTTACCAAAGACTTTGCTAATTAGCAAAGTCTTTGGGTGTTACAGTTCAACTAGTAAATATGGTTGCAAGGATCAACTTGTGGCTAGGTGTTACAGTTAAACTAGTAAACATGGTTGCAAGGATCAACTTGTAGCTAGGTGTTACAGTTCAGCTAGTAAATCGGTTGCAAGGATCAACTTGTAGTTAGCTGTTACAGTTCAACTAGTTAATGGGTTGCAATGATTAACTTTTAGATAGGTGTTACAGTTCAACTAGTAAATATGGTTGCAAGGATCAACTTGTAGTTAGGTGTTACAGTTCAACTAGTTAATGGGTTGCAATGATCAACTTGTAGCTAGGTGTTGCTGTTCAAGTAGTAAATATGGTTGCAATGATCAACTTGCAGCTAGGTGTTACTGTTCAACTAGTAAACATGGTTGCAAGGATCAACTTGTAGTTAGGTGTTACAGTTCAACTAGTAAATATAGTTGCAAGGATCAACTTGTAGCTAGGTGTTACTAGTTAATGGGTTGCAATGATTAACGTGTAGTTAGGTATTACTGTTAGTTTTCTTATTCCTATATCTTTACAACCTGTTGATGTTAATCTTTGATATTTAATACAACTTATTCATCTTTCAGGATGCCTTGTTTGAAATATCATATGATACGATTAGAAAATAAGAGTTTGTGAAAACTGTTGAGCATGTAAACTGCAGACAATGCATGCAGTCATGCACATGTTTAAATTAATTTTATGGTTATGATAAAAGAATTTAATAATTTTTATATTTACTTTCCGTTCTCTCCAGACTCCGTATTCTTCTTACAATTATGCTTTTTTTTTGTCTTTAAATTGACAACAAAATTAATTCACTTTTCTCAGTAAGCAGCTTTTTTTTTTTTAAATTGGAAACTGAAACATTTACAGTTTTACCGGAAAAACACAACAGTGTAAGTCGGTATTTTCATTTTTAATCTTACATTAAAAAAGAGTTCACCAGTTTTCTATGGAGTCTATTCAGTCTATCTACCTTCTTTCGTTTATTTAGATGATTTAGATTTGATCTATGTCACTAACTCTGATTTTCTAATCCCAAAATCTTTGAAACCCAATGTCATAGACCTTAAACATTCAAAAAATTAATATAATATAGATGACATTTTTTAAAATTTGAGGTATTGAATGTTTACGTTTTACACCATCAGGTTGCAAAGATATAAGGATTAGAAATTTTTTTGTGACAAATTCCTTTGATAAATCATAGAGATTGAGACGATATAGATAGAAGTCAGCAGGTTTGTAGAAACTGTATGTTTTTAATTTCATTTCCTGACTAATTATCCAAGCCTAGTGACTAGTAATTCGGTTCGTTTTGAAGACTTTTAGGGCTTTTTCAAGGTTTTCAAAAAATCTAAGAAATTTACGAATTCCAAAATTTACTCTAAATATTTGCTTTTCTTACACCACGCCAAACTTTGACCCTGAGAGAAATTAAATGAAAAAAAAACGAGAGAAGACAAACGTGTTAAAACGAAAGTTTTTGTTTTTTCCTTTTTTTTCTTAGGATAAAATAAAAATGCTGCTAAGTTTTAAAAGCTAATCTCAACAGAAAATGGTTTTTAAAATTTTGGAAGTTTTATAAAGAAAAGTTTTTAAATACTAACTAAAACGATTAATAACGTACCCTATCCATGTCTGAGATATTTTCGTTATTTAGCTGTTAGGTTAAAAATATGGAAGATTTTTTTCAATAAAAGTGAGTGTACAGTAAAAGTTTGTTAGTAATCCTTCATGTACGTTCAGGAGTTTTCGAGTTTTCATTTTTTTGATTTTGAGGAGGTATCTTTGCTATGATTCTAAACCTTTTCAATCCATTTATCTTATCGTTCCAAAACATATATCTTATTTTTTTAAACCATGCATTTATCTTATGATTTCAGCTCATTTATCTTATCATTCCAACCCATCTTATCATTTCAACCCATTTATCTTATCATTTCAGCTCATTTATCTTATCATTTCAACCCACCTTATCATTGCAACTCGTTTATCTTATCATTTCAAGCCATTTTCCTTATCATTTCAACCCATTTATCTTATCATTTCAACCCATTTACCTTATCATTTCATCCCATTTATCTTATCATTTCAACCCGCATATCATAGTTCACAGTGATCCAGAGGTTTCAAGCTTTCTAAAAAATCGATTAGAATACTAAAACAAGTTCTTTATAGTTCTGAAATGCACTTGTCTAAAGCTACAAGTAAGTATAATTGATTAAGTGACGTGAAAGCAAAGGTTTCACTTGTAAATCGTCGCCTTCTCATTCTAAACTAATGCGTTCTGGGTCATGTAAAAGATGTCTACTTTGTATTTGGAAAATTTGTCCAACTTTTTTGTATATCGTGTATCCCAAGTATCTTCTATCCTAGGTTTATATTTTTTAAAACCCTGTGCTCTGACAACGGAGCTAAACAACCTCCGGGGGAAGGCTGCATCACATAGAAATAAAAGATTTGATGAATATAATTTGCGCGGAGAAAAAACGAATGTAGTGAATTTAAAAATCTAATAAATATACTTCTTTCGGAGAAATTATGGATGAACTTATGGATGAACTTTTATAACAAATATATTCATAATTGACGTCTAGAAGTACCTTTATTAAAACTTTTTATATGTAATATAATGGGTTTATGTTTTTTTTTCATTTATCTGATCGATATCATTCAAAAAATTTAAAAAGTTCATTTGACAGTACGATCACGAATTACCCAACTTCATTATAGAGATATAAATCATCCCACTGTTTTTTCAAATCAGAAATACTTACGAGTACGTCTGCTTTTGGCGGACGGAAATACAGTGTACCAAGAAGTAAAACTTGAATATACTTCGTATAGTTGTTTATGTTTCTTCTATTGATCTAAATAGATAGAATCAGAAGATACAGGATTTTA